TGTATGTTAAAAAAAAGAAAGAAATATATATATATGTTGTGGTTGAAAATTTGTGAAAGTTGAAATGATAATCCTGCGAGGATAAGAAGCCACATCGCCATGCATCGTATGTTCTAGCAACCTCTCCATGGTGGTGTACCTCTATGTCCATAATGTACATGGGTTGAAGACTCTTCAATGTGTTAATTATGATGATGGTCAATGTGTTAAGTTTTGATTTTGATTGAAGTTGTTGAATCAGGTGTGTTTATTCAATTGTTTTATTGTTCTCATGGACTCACGTATGTTTATTCAGTTGTTTTATTGTTTTGATTGTTCAAGTATGTTTATTCAATTGTTTTATTGTGCTGATGAAATCAAGTATGTTCACGTTACCACCCTCTCAGTTGCTAGGGTTTGATCTAATATGAGACAGGGCAAAAATAGGTCCTTCTCCTCCCCATTATTGTGGTTTGGCCTTTGCTCCTGTCTAGAGTAGAGTAGTTAGCACAGGGTCTTTTTGTTTCACTTTTAGTTGAATAAGTGAAATTTTTGGCCTCTGTCAGTAGTTGCATGTGATCTGTGAACTCCATCGTGAGCTCCTTTAACGCCTTAGTGTTTCAGGAGATCATCATAAAAATGAAGGTCTGCTTCATAAATGCCCTTGTTGGCCAGAAGACGGAATTCATGGGACACATGTAAGAAGTTTTAAGGGTGGTACAAAAGAGGTGTTTCTTTTACCTCACTGTATTAATTGATCTTAACTGAATGACGAGTTCAAAGAATAATGTTTGTTGATTTTGTGTTTTAAAAAAGTGATTCAAATGTTTTTCATTTGTTGTTAAATTGAAAATGATTTCGCAATGCATGATGTTGGATCTGTTCTGAAGGGGCTCCTGGCAGTCTGAAAATGTAATAATTAAGGGTAATGGTAATCAGGATTGATCTTATGATCAATAAGAGGGAATTGTTATGGGATTTTCATAGACACTGTCTCTTGTCCTCTCTGGAGCAGAGTGCAACAGGCTGTTGTGTTTGGGAAGTGCAAGATCTTGGTGAAGGTCAAAGCCTTCACTCCCTAGACATCAAAGATATGAGACTGCATAAGCAATACTGTCTCCATAACTAGAAAATACATTTGATTGTTTAGGAACAAGCACACCCATAGATTAAATGACCTGTTGGGGTTTAAAGTGTGACTGCAGGAAAGCAGACTTCAGAATATGAGAGAGCATCATGCACAGATGTTGTATGGATGAATTCTGATTTTATCCTTGGCCAAGCTTCAATACATATTTCAGCATAAGACATCAAAGGGCTCCTGAACGCTTTCTTCATTGATGATTTGACCATTGATCAGCAGATTTTCCACAACAATCGCCACTCAATATACAACACAGGCAAATCGTAAGCAAAATTAATAATCAAAGGAAACATTATTAAATAATTGTAGCATAAAGATGCGTACACCACTTCTCATGCAAACATTGGGATTTATATTGACAACTTAAAATGTGTGCACTTGTATGCTAACTCTGACACGTGTTCAAACATTTTGGAGATGGAAAAATGATGATGCAGACTTGAGGTGGTGAACTGAAGCCAGATTATTAATCCACTTCAATACCCCCCACACGCACACGTGTTGAAAAAATGTCTCCGTTGTAAATATCCCCAAAAAATATCTTTAGGGAGATTAGATTAGTCTTGAAGCTGCTGAAAGGACATCTCATATATATCCCCTATCACACCAATCTGTTTGTCACGCCATGATTCAAATAAAGAAGGGATCAAGCCTGGTGAAAATTCCTTGTTATTACAGATAGGAGAAATCATTGATTTTACACCTCTTCTGTCCAGATCTCCTGCCATGCTTTAATAGTGTTGATAATCAATGGAATATACTTAAAGGTTCAGTGTGTAAGATTTAGGTGAAGGAATTTTTCCTAGTGATGTTGTTGGGAAGAGGAGGGTGAGGTGAGGAGTATTCAGCTGCAACACGCAACTTCACCTCTAGATGTCACTAGATTCTACACATTGTACCTTTAATGTTTGTGTTTATTTTTTCAGGCATACATGTCACTACGCTCCACGGGGACTCTGGAGAGCATGCCCAAGCATTCACACAAGTTTCAAGCCTAAGAAATGAGTGTAACTAAGCGTACAAATGTGAAAAGCCCAGTTATAAAAAAGCGTGTTCAGCACAGCTAGACTGCCTTTTCTTTAGGCAGCTGCAGAGAATGAAACATTTGTCTTGGTCTTTCACCATGCCAGATAAATTCGGAGACTTCCTCCCTACCCACACTCTTCAATTTCAAGCAGGCCTGCCTGGAGCATACTGCTAAAACCTTTCAAAGGCAGCGACGCAAGAGCCTGCCTAAGAACTTCAGCACAATTGGCCACGACACAAGGTCTGACCAGCAGATGCACAACAGGAGCCACCTCCTCCCATTTTTCTCTGCTCACCCCAACCGGTCGAGGCAGATGACGTCCACATTGACAACTATCTCAACTATGCAACTTAAATGGACCAGATAGTTGTCAAAAGGAGATATTATGAACTGCCAAAACATCATGTGAACTGGAAGCTGTTGTTTAGAACCAATATCATACTGAACTGAAGGCAGCCTTTGACTTCATCTATCAGTTAAGTAATTCACAAAGGAAAGAAATAAACCCCAGAGGCAATGGCTGTTTTTAACACAAAATATCTGCCCAATCAAATCTGATAAAAAAAAAAGTATAGTTAACATGTGAAAGCTTGGTATAATGTAAAGTGTGATAAGAGTGTCAATGTGTCTGCAAGAAAGCGCGCTGGCTGTACAGGTCTATTTTTGTGCTTGATATGAGCGTATGTATGATGCAGGGTTCTGTCAAGTGTCCTGTGTTTTTGGTTTTTGAGAGTTTTCATTTCAAGTATGGATTGTGTTTTTCTTACATTTGGATTCATGTTTTAAGTTTTGCTCCTTGTGTCCCTCTCCTATATCCCACTCTGTTTCTTTCTGTGTTCCCGTTTCACCCCGTGCTTCACCCTGTGTCCTTCTCAGTGTTCCTCCAGAGTTCATCTCTGTTTTCTGTTTTATTTTGTAGTCTCTGCTCCTTGTGTGTTTTCCCCCTGGACTTCCTGCCCTCATCAGGCTCACCTGTTTGTCCTGTGCCACCTGTCTCTAGTTTCTCATTAGTTCAGTGTCTCATTTAATTCTTTGTCCCTGTGTCTTTGTCAGTTCGTTGTTATGAGATGCATGTCTTCCCATGTGTCGTTCCACCACTCTGCGTTCCAGTAAGTCTCTAGTGTTTCCTTGTGTCTCCACTGTTTTTGCTTAAGAGCATTATTGAATTGCTGTTATTTTGGATTTTGTTTGTTTGCTTTGTATTAAAGGACACTTTTTGTTAAAACCTTTTGTTATGCCTTTTTGGGTCCACCTGCTCCCTTACCCTCTCCCCACAAAACATAACAGGTTCAGCTTTAATATTTATACTCAGCAAGCATGTGTGAGAGTTGGCATGATCTCATGAGTGTATGTGAGCAAGTATATAAATGTGTATGTGAAGCACAGGTGCATGCAACAAATAGCTGAGTCGCCATTAAACAGTCCAAAATATTTCTTAATGTCCCCATCATACAGAAAAGAGAGAGAGAGAAAAAACTGAGTTGAACCTGACCAAGTTTTTTCTCTGTGGATCTATCCGTCCCCCACTCGTGACAGAGTTTTCACTTCTTTTTCAAGAGCTGAAATCTTATTAGACAGAGAAGTGGTGTGGTCCACAGCATCCGAAATGGGTGCTTCTGCCTTCAATACTTGCTAATCCCTTCAAAAGTAAGATGGAGTTTGGTAAACTTCAGATCTATGAAAGCGCTGCTTTGTGACTTCCTGTCCAAGGCGAGTAGCCAGGTCTTCTTCCTCACAAGTGGCAGCACCATGTTGGTTGGCTGGCTGCAGTCTCTATGCTAGGGGACTGGAGTTTCCTCAACTCTGAGTATCACGAATCGGAAGCGTAAGTTCATATGTTGATAGCCATCATTAAAAAGTATAATCAGAAGCAAAAACTATTTCCAAAAAGCTAATTTGAATCCAGTGATGACAAGAGGTCAGTGAAAACATACCTCTCATGTTGACTGCATCATGTGACCCCCCCCCCATAGCGCTTTTCTAGTCTTTGTTACAGCCCCCTCTTGTGTTCGACCCTTTTCTGTGTAGATTCTGTATGCAAATCAAGGTGTGCCCTTCCTGATCTGCGGTTGTCTCCAGCTGGGAAGGCGCAGCTTTCCCTCATCCTCGCCAGCTGCCGTTCCTTCAATCCCTGAGATGCCAGGAACCTAAAGAGTATATAAACCCAGATCACCTGCCATTCAGGGCAGCTGTTTTACTAAGGAGTGTGAGAGTTTTTGGGACACAACTGCATGATTTCCCAGGGGATATTCACTCTAAGCATGAACAATTTGATTTGGCTGAAATTAAATATTTTATTCGTTTCACCTTTCACCAAAAAACATCATCAATTAATGGAGCTTTGAGCACGTTCATGCACAACACTGCTGCACTGTGTTGGTGTACTTAGGTTAACTGCTGATGTTTTTAGAGGCAAAGGGTAGTTGCAAGAAATTCTGATTTGGTTATTGTTTGTTGAAATTGTACTTTGACTGAAATTATTTGAAAAATACTACTACAGGTCAAAACCATTAACTAAATAACAATAGTGAAATTATCATATGAAATACAATACATTCAAACCATACAGACAGCATACAAGAGGTAAATAATTTTATTTCATCAGATTAAAAATAACATTAGTTAAATACAAGCTTTTTAGGGATACTTAGGATACTTTTAAAATCCTCTTTCAAACTTTTAATAAAAGATAATCTTTTATTTAAAAAAGAAAATAAGCTCTAACTTAACATTCTGCTTTATAAGCGAAAGCTAAAAGGGACAGCAGGCACATTTGTACTCCAACAACTCTGACATTTAAATGTTGCTTTTATTCTGTTTGGTTATCACACACACACTGACCAGTTGTGCTCAGGATATTCAAGTCCTTTTATTTTGTGGCACAAACTATCAGTTTTTCCAGGCGTTGCATAGTCTTCTCTAAAGGGATACTTGATTATGCATGGAATGCAACATTAACATGCATGACAGGACTAAGCCTTATATTTAGCATGGCTATATAAATGCTATATAGTACACAAGTGGTTTATAAAGCTAAATACATGTGGTTATGGCACAGTTGACTGTGGCATACATAAAAATCTGAGGCCATGATAAATGGATACCTTTGATATATCTCTTTTCAATTTGTGGTTAGTTTGTTAACTTTAAATATGCTGCATATAGCATATTTCTACATTTTAAAAGCACCCATCATTACCATACACACCACAAGCTTGTTGGTGATAATGTGTATAATATTAACTGTGTTTCCACTTCAGATGTAAGGTTGGATCAAGCTAATGAATACCTGCGCTTGGCTTGGGCTATGTTGGCAGCTATCTGCATCTGAATTATAATTTGATATATATAAAAAAAAAAGCTTGTTATCCCATTTGTCATTCATCCGGGTCATGGTATCTTCAAAAGCTACGTATATAATAACGTATGCATAAGCAACTTGTCTTATTCCTTGAAGATGTTTCACCTCTCATTCAAGAGGCTTCTGAGGAAACCTCTTAGATACAGTATGTACACGTGTATAACTCCATATATTCTTGAAACAATGGCGCTGGCAGTTTTGTAACCAAGTTTGCAGTTGAATCTACATAATAGTTTTGCATAGCAATATCTAGGCAATGGGGCCTTATTTATGTATGTGAGATCTACAATCTTGTCTAAACTGAAGCAGAGTTTAACAAGTACATACACACATACTGTAACAATTGTGAAGTTGCACAATGCACAAACCCTCACTTGCTGTATCAAGATACTCGTAATGACACGCTCTGCCTTTGTGAAAAACACAAGGACTATTTTCAGGACTTTTATCATTGCACCTCTTCTATTTATCATTTATCTATTTATTTTATCAATCCGATCTTTGTCTTATGTGTGCCTCTTTGTTTTATTTGTGTCTTCTTTGTGAGCTACTGGATATCTAAATTTCCCCATGGGGATGAATTAAGTATCTGTCTATAAATGTAAAATCTGATTCGGTCACTGTTGCCACAGCAACACGATAAATAAAAGTAATATAGATAAACACAACCAAAAAAGGTAAACTAACTGTGTATGTGATGGTGAGTGGAGGAATAGCAATTGATATTTTTTCACTGGTAGATTAGGCTGTGAAAAAGATCTATCACCCTGCTCAAACCAAAATAGCACCCCCAGAAAAGTATGAGCTCTCATGAGGTGGTTGTACAGTTAAAAAGAGCTTCAGATAAATGACAAATGAAAATTGCTATAGCCTTACTGAAATATGAATAGATATAAAGATTATACAGTTTCTCACGTCATGTGATGTAATGTGAGTCTGGCATGTCCGCTAACACAGACAGGTGCAGCAAGAGCGGGGGTTCACATTTCTCACCAATCTCAACAGAGCCAATGTAGCCAAACAGAGAAGACTGGCCTTTATCAGGAGGGGGCCAAACACTATATCAGTATTCTTCATTTGTATACACACCTTGAGAGCCAGCAGAAAATGTAATCATCACCATTCAGCAATGTAAGAATAAACATCCTTTTCTATCAGGTTCTTATGTTTTTTAGGTTCTTAATCTAAACTTTTGCTAAATTAGTCAACCACATCTGTGTCCTCCCACTGTGAGCACTATGATCACCACTGTTCTAAAACTTTGATATGATAGACTATGCCAAAGAAGTTCTAACAACAAACTATCCGGTCGAGGATTGGGTTTGTTCAATTTTGTAATGTAAAGCCAAAAGTTTGGATTGGTTGGTTATCAGCTTTTATGTCTGTAATATCCAAATTGAGTCCATGCAGTCAGAAGGAGTACTGAGTTATAAATTTTGAAGTTTAAAGCATTAATAGTTGCAAAAATATTGTTTCTGTATTGTTGTGTTTTTAAAATCACACTTTTCTTGCAAACAAAATTTAAAAATTCATTCTCACAATTATTTCATCTGTTACAATATTTTTTACAGTATTCAAAATTAGACAGGTTTCTCATCATAACATGATCAATTAATATGCTGGTAAAACAAGAAACCTGGATTAATGATACCTATTTTGTCTCCCCCCGTAACATGAAGTAACACAGCTGTCAGGTGCAATTTGGGGTTCCCAAGGACACATCACACTGGAGGTGAGGGGATCGAACCACCGGCCCTTCTGGTTAGTGGACAATCATCTCTGAGCCACAGCCGTCTCTTGAGGTGAGATAAGTTGGTATGTCATTATAACAGGAGGCATGTAACGAGATTTAGAAGTGATATGATACGAGTGATATAATAAGTCTTACGTCTATAAAGTCATGTGTTGTGACTAAAAATGTTTCATATTAAACAAGAATGAATATGTAACAAGTAGATCATGCAATGAAAACATTTTTATATTCTGTCACAACATTAAATGTATAAACTGCAAACTTTTTTTGTCATGGTGGCAACAACTGCTCTATAAAGCTGTTTTCAGACATGCACTGGACTCTGCAGATCCTCCGTATTTTCTCCATAGGAGACTACGGACTTTCCCGCGGCGGAGTTAATACGTGACTTCCTGTTTCTATCTGTTCCACCCCCTCGCCTGAATAATGCAGAGGATTTGCTGCTATTGTGAAAGCATCTGTGCAGAGAACCTCCCACTGCATTGTGCATGTGTGGAAAAACAAACTCCGTAGCCAATTCTCCGCGTTTTACTATAGGTCATGTCTGAAATCGGCTTATGTGACACTGATATTCAGGATTTGAAACAATCATATTTTAACTGTTGGCAGGCATGGAACTAAAAAATAATGGAAATTGACAGGTTGTAAATATTAAATCTGCTGCAGTCAAATGTTACAGTATTTTGAAATTCTTAAAATGATGATGGGATTTAGAATCGAATTATGGTCTTGTTCATCCTTTGTGGTAGGTAGTCTCATATGCTTTTGAGGTCCAATGGAACAGACATTTGACAAAGCAGCCAAAAATGCATGAATGCAGAGTGCATTAATGGTTGGATTTGATGCTTACAGATGTGCGTGCTACTCCAGGTAATGTTAAGTCCATCCATGTAGAAATAATATAAAAGGATGAAAAATTTTATTCTTTAGTTATATAAAAGCTATTATAAAGAAATTTGTTTTAGAGTAGTGGTAGTGAAACTACTATTTAAAACCAGTATAAGAACAAGAATAAAGGGTTTGAAGTGGCACAGTGTTTATATTGAACTGAAATATTAAGGTTGTGTGGTGTTATCTGTATTGTTATAGTCATGCATGATGATCAAAGGGCAGGGGAAGGAGGAATCTCAAGAAGAACAGTTAAATGTTCTACATAAGCCATGGCTGTAAGATGGTTATGTAGGTGGAGGTCCCTCATAGCGAAGCATGATGTTGAAGGATCGGGCAAAGTTGTTGGAGAACGAGCAAGTGTTGCCTTCATCCATGAGGGGCAGCAAGAACATCAGGAGAAGCAGTGCCAGTAGAGGGACCCATAGAATAAAAGCCAGCCGACATACCCTCTGCAACAATCCAGGCTTCTGCAACAACAGCAACAACAGCAGCAACACAGAGTTAGAACACATGTACAATAATCTAAATTTAAACAGGCTAAAAGCTGTTTACTGCCACCCAGCCAGCAGAAGGGTACTGCTTTCATCTCCGTCTGTGTTTATGATACAGTGCATGTGTAGATTGTCACAAAACTTGAATGTTACTAGAAGTGTTGTCATGATACTTGTCAATACTTTTCTTTTTAAAAAAAGGCAGACACATATTATATAACTGATGTGAAGAAGTTTCAAAAAATTCAGAAAAAAACATTTGCAACCAATAAGATTAGAGACACAATCGAATATAGCTTATTAAGCAATCATCATATGTCATGATAACATCATTATGAAAAGGCATTGATACAATAAAAAAAAACAAGTTTCTATTACCTGCTAGGATGTATACAGTACATGAGTATGCATTACCCCTCTGATGCTTTTCAAGATTTATGTACTCACAAGAGGCAGGAGAGAGGTTGCAGGATCCTGAAGTCAACTAATAAAACAGATGGATACCACTTGGAAAAACAGTTAGTTTTCTTTAATAATAGAAGTTTTACCTTATTATCCAAACAACTGCATGACTTCTCACTCATAAGAACTGTATTTATTTGATAACTATGTTTGTCACGGCTCAGGCCGTTACTCTTGTTTGTTCCTGTTCTCTATGTCCCCCTCCTTTCTCCTCCCTCCTTATGTGTGAGTGCATGGGCACAGTCTCCATTCCTGGCACCTGGTCTTAATCATATAATCAGCAGCTCTACAAGAACCCCTGTCTACACCCATCGCCAGATTGCTCAGTCACCTCAGTGGTGTATTCTCTTGGCTGTTTTGAACTACTGGTGAAAAGGTTTATTTGTATGGTTCCTGTGAATCACCTAACGCGCCCAGTATTTTAATGATTCTTAATAGATCCTTCCATACAGTTTTAAACATGTTGTGGTCCAAACTCTTTTAAAGAAACCCCACCTTGATCCCTCTATTCTTAACCACTTCAGGCCGATCTCTAAACTTCGATTCTTATTGAACGTTTTAGCAAAAGTGGTTTCAACCCAACTTTTATCTTTTATGTGTCATAATAACATATTTGAGAAATTTCAATCAGGTTTTAGAGCATTACACAGTACAGAAACTGCCCTCCTCAAAGCAAGCAGTGACATTCCTTTAGTCACTGACAGAGGAGAGATAACAATTTTAATCCTCATACTGCAGCCTTTGGTGACGTATGCGGGCAAACCGGGCAAACATCTATCCTAACTAAAGGAGAGTCTATGGTGGAAAGATGGATAAGCACGGACTTTTAGGGGAAAAGTTTCATTTTAAAAAGTTGCCTGACGGCTCGTTGGACAAAACCAAGGCAATTTGCACAGTTTGCAAAGCCAAATTTAATTACCACAGAAGTAACACGTCTTTAGCGTATCACCTCAAAGCAAAAAACCCTGCTGAAATGACCTCCACGGGAGCTCGCCAGTCTACACTACAGGAGTGTGGCATTCGTAGGCGAATAACGAAACCTGTAAGTGAAAAGTTAACCAATTCCTTGGTTACTTGGATATTAAAAAACTGCCGCCCAGTTAGCACAGTAGAGGATGATGGACTGAGAGAAGTAATTTGTGTTGCATCGGGAGATACCTCTTATAATTTACCCTTGAAAGGAACCATCGTGTCAAGAATACACACATTGTATGAGGATGAGAGGGCACAGTGGACTAACATGCTTGAGCAAGCAAAGCACATCGCTCTCACAGGTGACCACTGGACATCTGTCAACAACGATTATTATTTGGGCGTCACAGCACATTTCATTGATCAAGACTGGACTCTGCAGTCGTTTGCACTTACTATGAGTAAAACCGAGGAGCAACATTATGCAGATGCATGTGCTAACCATTTTCTGGATGTTGCAAACGAATGGGAAATGAAGGAAAAGTTGACCACATTCTGCACTGACAGAGCTCGTAACATGGTTGCTGCCACGAGGCTACATCCATTTGAACACCTGCTTTGCATGGCCCACTGTCTGCAAAGAACGGTCACGTAAACAAACTGGTCTGCCTCAGTAACTGGCTGAGTGTAAAGAAGGACTAAGTAAATTATGTCTATGGAGTGAAAAATGTTCAATGTTCTGAACTTTCAACAGTATCTTTCCTCCTTCTTTTTTGTATTTGCTCTGTACATATGTGTACCATAAGCCATTTAAATGGTTTTTGAATTTAAAAATACTTTCTCTGTGTTTATTCTACATTAATTTGATGACATAAATAAATAATCATTATAAGCTTCAGTCTTAAGTAGAAAAATGCAATTAATTTATTAATAGATTCATCGCGATTAATTACAGAAATTTGTTCGATTAATTTGTAATTTTTTTTTTTATCGATTGACAGCCCTAGTAATTACACATCCCCTTAAAATGAACGTTACCTCCTTCCTCAATTTTAGGCCTAACTTTATTTACTATTTATTTGCTTCGCCAGTTGCCAGAAACCTAGGAGTTGTGTTTGACTGAACACTCACTTTCCAACCACAAATTAAAAAAGTAGTCAAGTCCTCCTACCTACAAATCAGAACCATCTCCAAAATCAAACCTGTACTTTCACACCCAGACTTGCAATGAGTAATTCATCTCTTCTCTAGACTGGACTAATGTAACTCTGTCCTCTCTGGCATAAGCCAAAAGTCACTCTCCTGTCTCCAACTCGTTCAGAATACAGCAGGTAGGCTTCTCACTGGTCCTAAAAGGCAACATCACATCACCCCAACCCTCTTCATTGGATCCCTGTCCATTTTAGAATTGATTTTAAGATTTTACTGATTACTTTTAATGCACGCCAGGGTCTGGCCCCAAGCTACATAACAGAACTACTGACCCCTTATATGCCTGCACGCAGCCTTAGATCCTCAGGTGGAGCGCTACTTGCTGTTTCAAAGTCGAGGTTGAAAATTAAAGGTGATAATGCTTTTGCCATCAGGGCCCCTCGGCTTTGGAATGGCCTACCTGAGGAGATAAGGCTCGCAGAGTCAGTGACTTCTTTTAAATCACTTCTTAAAACCCATTTGTATAGACTTGCTTTCATGTGATATTGTGTTTTTACTGTGATTTGAGCGAGTGAGCGGGGGCGGGGCCCTGGAGCCTCTGTTTGTGTGCACACGCACACGCACACACACAAACACATTTTCACGCGCTCCTGGTATTTCACATGATGGCCTTTACGATGATGATTAAAAAAAGTGACTGTTTTTAAGAGAAAGACATGTAAATAAAAAACATTCGAAGGAGAGAAAGAAAAAGAGAAAGGGTAATCAAATATATTTTGTTATTATTCTGTAACTCCATAACTGACCTCCTTTTTCCTTGTGTGTTATTTTCCCACTTAATTAAAACAAGATATAAGACAGAGGCCTATTATCAACTTAATCCGAGACCCTGCTGAAAACCAAGGTAATAGATGACAGATCTTCTATGTGAATGGACAATATGGTACATTCTTATTGTACAGAGATCATATTGTTTATGAAAATAAGATTTTACTGTGAGTGCATTTGTTAAACTGTAAATATGTTTTACTGGGTTGGGAAGAAGTTACAAGTAGGACTTTCTTAGATAAAAGGATTAAAAAAGGTGGAGAACAACGGATACAGAGGGCCCCATGTCTGTGTTAATTCCACCACTGACCACAGGCTGTGATGTCACCAGGTCAAAAAAAAAAAACACTTCCCCCTCTGCCACCTCACATCCAACTTCTCCAAAAGTATATCCCTCTTAGTCCTTGTTTTTTCAGCCGCCATTTTGACCCACACAAACACATACACACACTTGTATACTGTGAGTACATTTTTAGTTTGTGGGTTTTTA